TCAAATGAATGATTTGACCTATCTTATTCCTAGTATTTTAATGAGATTATGTTCTACCTCCATGTTTCAGAGATACAAAAACTCCGAGGATATACACGCTGGTATCAAGTTAATCGAGCTTATGTTTAATGATCTCTTCAAAGTGAAAGAGAGGGCAAAACAATGGACCAGGTTTTTTCAGACAATGCAGGCGATAGTGCACCAGAAAAATACAACAACCGACGATATATCTGAAAAATTGAAACCTTTGTTGAAATTGCCCCCTAGGAAAATTTTGAAAGACCTTAAAACGAATTTTAAATCAGCGGAAAAATTTGGACAAACTGTTGAACAATGTTTCGGAAGACTCTCCGATGATATCAAAGCTTATCATCATGGCAAACCTCTTACAGACAATAACATTACAGAAATAATGGACAAAGCTATACAAATTATTATTGGTGCATTTTTCTTTAGTAATAGTAAATTGTAGGCAATTAATTAATTTGTAAGGCAATGTCGATTTATTTATATAAAAGCAGAGGGTAAAACTTAGTTGGAATTTGAATACCTCTACTGCGTGGTTCTAATGGATAAAAATGGCAAGAGGCATCAGCCCTCTTAGTGAAGACCTGGCACTGAGATCCGTAATAAACAACACTTAAATGTGTGCCAAAAAATACTGAGACCAGTTCAAATGACACTGATATCACTCCTCACCAGTATCTCCTTGTGCTCAAGAAAACTGATCTCAAAAGAAACCCTGATCTGCGTTGAAGTCCATCAATTTACTGTCACTTTTTTGTACCGGCTTTACTTTTTATTCCTCTGAGTCATGTGTACTTTAGAACTGACACGAGCGTTTATAGAGTAAAAAAAGAATCGTTCATCTTAAAACGATTTCAGAGGATTCCAGGTCTCACCAACTTTTCTAGTCCAAGTTTCAGTGTTATCTTTAAAGTAGCCTTTATTTCGGTCGCGGGAACAATGTTGCAGTGTTACTGGAGCCAGGGCTGGATTAAGGGGGTGGCCAAATGTGCCGCGGCCCGTGGCGGCAAATCTAGGGGTGGCAAATTTTGCAATTTTTTTAAATGTAGGTATAAAAAAAATCGGATTTAGGAAAAAAAATTACAGACGAGAAAAGGCTACAAAACCTCTCATTTCCTGAGAGTATAGTAATTTCTAATTTTGTCGTCTTCCAGTGATTCAAGGGACAGCACCTTTAATTAGTCGAGTTAAGAGAGAAACCAAACACACAATTTGGCCTGGAACGGCGACTTGGGGAGAAATGATGACGAGGACTTGAGATGAAAAGGAGAAGCCCTCGGCGCGGCAATCGGCATGTAACACATATTAGCGTCTACAAGACTGCACGAATACTTCACGCATTGTATCAAACACAGTGCGGTTATTGTGGTCAGCGTAAAACGCATAGCGCCTACAAGACTGCGTGAATACTTCACGCATTGCGCCAAACACGGTGCGGTCGGCGCGGCGCGGCGGCGGAAGTTAAAATCATTAAACTACATTTATGTTCGTTCTTTCATAATTTTTTCATTCATTTTTTATGAATGAAAGGCCTTGTCCATTAGAGATAGGTTTACGAAATTTGACTTTCGCGCAAAGTTCCGTGACCTAGTAGTGTTGACAGGGCTTTCCCAAAAAATGTGTTCAACACGAGTAAATGCGTCTTATGCACCCCTCCTCCGCTGGCACGTTCACTTGATGGTTTTTA